CTGGCTGTTATCGTGAATTTGTCGGGGCACTTTTTTGTAGGGTGTACGTACCTACCGTAATTTTATTTCTACGGCAGATTTCAAGATGGTATCTTCAGTTTTATTCGGTTTCGAGACGTGTCTTCTCTCCGACCGAAATCCCGAGTACGGAGGACAGAAATTTGAAGTGAATTGAGTTGTGGAAATGTGTGTGCTTTTTGCTGGGGGAAGTTTGCGATTCGAGTTTGTACAGCGTTACAGAGCAGCTGATAAGAGGGGCTCGCGAGGATTTACGGAGGAGAATTGAACCGTCCTTGGATTTTATGACCGAGCGAGTCCTTTAGAATCTTTTCTTCACGAATCAGCAAGCTGGATCTTTCTAAATTTTAGAAATCGAATTCTAGTGTTCGAAGCATCCCTCTTTTCTGTTATTTTAACACACTCAAGCTAGAATGTTTGCATAAACGATTAAATTGCTTCGTACTTCTTCAACGATGTCCCAAGAAAAATTCGCCGAAACTCGAATAATACCTCTTTCGAGCACACACTTTATCCTCCGGTTAAATACGTTCCCGGTGATATCATAGTCTTAAGAGCACCCCTCTGCTTCTCCTTCCTCTCGTTTCCTTTCTTTCTCCGAGCAAACGCAGCAGCTTCCCAAGAACCTCGCTGGCTGGGATTTCCTAGGAGAGTTATCTCTAATTCGCCGCGGATTTACTTGCCGATGAATCTTTAAATTAGATGCTCCTCTCTCTCCGAGGAGAGCTCCTAATCGTTCAATCACCTTTATCGCAGAATCGACTCGTCTCCTCTACCTTCGCCAATCTCTGTCCTCTCTAATTTTACGCGCTTGTTACTACGATGCTAGATTCCCGTCTCTCAGGAATTGTCTAATATTCTCCACACCGCAGCGATCAACGTGGAATTCACAAAAACTCAGACAGAGAAGGTTCGACACACTCGGCTCTGTTCGCTTGAAATTTACGAAAGAACCCCTGCACGTACTATCGCTATACTCAGACACCGATCCATCCAGCTCCTCCTAGGCTTCATCTGAAAATTTCAATTAGCAGCCTCGCCGGCTGGAGCGTTCCTCTCGAGGACGTGCCACGTCCTCCACCTTCTTCCTCCTCCTCCTCCCAAGACACACAACCCTAGTTCCCTCGCGTCACCGTGCTCGCATTAAATTCCAATCTGGTAACATCGACGCGTCCCGTTCGCGAGCTTTTACCGTTTTCGGCCGAGGGACGAAGACAGACGCCTTAGTTTGGCGAAGACCGGTTCGATTGGTAGGACGAGTTGATTCGACGGCGGGCGATAGGACAGGAACCGATGATGGTTTGCTCGGTAATTCTTGGTAGATCCAGCTGTACGGCAAAAAAGCCACGGGATCTAACGGTGTTTTTCACGACGGCTTGTTCGAGGCGTCTCATCAGTCACGTCGCCGCACCGCGCCGGCTAGCGAACCGGAGGCGCCAGCCCAGAAGACTTCTCTCCTCTTCGAAACGCCGATGTGTCAATTAATCCCTGCATCCCCTGGGATACGACTAGGCTAGGAGGCTGGATTATCATTATCCTCCTTGCTATCTCCACGCCGGGATGTTTCCACCCTGCCGAGAGCACCGTATCGTCTCTCCCTCTTTCGGTGGTGTCTTCGTGCCGCGGAGACATCACCCTTTTGCTAATTAATATCGCCGCGATACTTGTGCTTGTGCAATTGTGCGTTGCTCGAGGAGGGGCGCGATGTTTTGGAGATTTCCGGGGAGTTTGATGGGTTGTGTTGATGGTGAACGTTGAATTTGGAGTTTTTCGATGGGGTGATGGCTTCAGGTGTGGGTTTCTTTTTTAAGGAGCTTCTGAGGTTTAACGTGATCACTGTACTTCCCTGGGCTATGAACCTTCTTTCGGCTTTTGGTGTAGTGTTTGTTGGCAATTTGGGTTGCCTTGGAATCACTGTATTTTGTCGACACTGTTTCATTAACTGGCTGTCTGTCTCGCAATGTAAAAATATTCATGTCTTAGATATTGAAAATGTTCATTTGTCCCGAGTGTCTGAATATTTGTGTAACAGTAATCCTGAATACAACGAATGACGTTTCACAAAGAAACAACCTCGATCTAATCCTTTTCCAATTTATCAAAACGCGTCACCGTAAAAGTGAGTTTATAAAGTGTCCAAATATTTTTGCAAATAACAGCAGAAATACCGAAAAGTTTCAATAACTAACTATCTGTAAAACATCGTCGATGGTTTCAACGTGCGGTCAAAGTCGTTTCCGTAAAACAGTGCCGACGAAAACCTTCTCACAGTTCCACGACAACTCAATCTAATTACTCCTTCAATTCCAGTTTCCCCGAGAAACGAGTACCAAACCCAACGCTTTCCCTAAATTGTCACAGCGCCTACCAACATCCCCATCCACACTTGAAAATTCACAGGAGCCTGCACACTCGGTCATAATCTCTCCGCACTTCGCCCAATTCATATTCCACTCTATCTCCGCTCTTTCGCACATTCCACATCTTAAAATTGCCAGATAGCCGAGGGTTGTCGTCCATCGCGACGATAAGGTCCAGCTACTAGAGGGTCGAAGGCAAAACGCGGCCACAGCGCGTAATAGAGAGAGAGAGTGGGAATAGGTGGCAGAGAGCGGGCCGCGTGAGTTATGGCCGTCCCGACGCTCTCTCCTGTTGGCCCTGGGCTCAATTTACAGATGATTCCGCGTGTTACCGCCTGGCCAACGGCTGGTTAACCTTCCTGCCAAACACTTAATCTTCCGGCGTGTCCCACGACCGAATCGGCCCGCGACTTTCCACGGACAACCGACCACTGGCCAGCTTAGTCTTTCGGGATAAATGGAAACAGAGCTATTCTCGCTCTGCTCGCCCATAAACTTCCGGCCACCCTTCTGATCGCGGTGGCGGCGCCCGCGACCTTGCGCCCACGGACCTCCGCCGCAGATTTATCGGTCCTCGATGGGACGACAATGGCCAACAAGTTGCTGGAAAATGGATCGCGACACTTTCTGCCCTGTCTGCTCTTTGCTAGCTGTTCGAAAACAAATTTAAAGTATCGCAGATAAAGTTTCTTTCAATTTTCAACTCCGTTTCTTCGAGTGCGTTAAATGAAAGTGTGAAGAGAAGGTTGGATAGAACGGCAATAGAAAGTTCGACGAAGAAACAGCACGAAAGCAGCGTAACCGCGTAAAACAATAAATCGGTAGATTTTGCAACTCTAATTAATTACCAGAACGATACAACGACTCCGCGTCAATTACAGCACAGGCTATCAATGTACCAACGTAACGCGATACTTCGGTATTACTCCACTTCCGGTTGCACAATTCGAAGACGACACTTGCGCCTGATGACAAGAGGAAATTACGCTAACCGTCAAACCACTCTTCTCGATAGCTATTATTTTCCCATATTAAACCTCGAACAAAGACCTCCAACCGTTTCAAGTATAAGTAACCACGAAATGTACCCGCACACGATCATCGTTCAAGTTTCCAAGAATACCAGACTTAACAGAAACTCTGAAAAGGTCTAATCAGCGTCAACCGAAACCAGAACGAATCGAGTGCGCTCGGTCGAAGACACAGGATTCGGAATTCTCCGTGAGCAATGGCCGTGATCCGTCCCCCGGAAGACAATAATTCATCCTCGTTGAAAGGGTTCCGGAGAGAGGCCCGCATGTGTTCGCCATCGGTCTATCGATTGTCCGTGGCTCACGTTTCGTCGGAACACCGATACATCATAATTTGCCCGGCGAATGTTTACCGATGCTTTTGGGAAAACGCGCGGTTTTCGCACGTGACGAGATCCAGATGCGCGGCGGAGAACCGTGGCTCCCGAGGAAAAGGAGTGGCTGCGAACTGTCATTAGCCGTCGGCCGGCAGGCACCCTGTGGCGAACCGCAATGTGTCGCTGGACGACGCTACACGTCTCGCCTATGAACGCACACGTAGACGATCCTGGCGTTAATTGACTTGGACGAGGCCAGTTCCAACCCTATTCGACTAATGCTCGAAACGAATCGGCCTCTGAATTGTCGCGTAGTCGAACGATTCGAGTGTCTAACAGGGTTTTGGAGTTCCTGGAGGAAGTATAGAGGTGTTTGCTTAGATTTGTCCGTAATTACCTCATATCCGACAATTGGAAACGATCGAATGTCCCGTATGAATGGAAGATTGATAGATGTTGATGGACGAGGGATCTCGAGTCCGTCTTGAATGAATCTTACACGTCGAAGAACGACGTGTTTGTTGATTTACGAGAGAGTTCGTTTGTAGAGTGGGAGAGTTGGAGAGGGAGTGTTTAAGAATAATCGTCAGGAGAAGGGTGATTTCTACGTTCATTAGAGTAATACTCCCTTTGTAGAAGGGTTGTAAAACTGCAACCGAGTAAGAACGATAATCGTTCGTGGATATACGCTGAATCCTACGAGGTCATGTTAATTGACTCGATCGTTCGTCGTTTCACCCCCGTGGTGCTTCCAGCGAATAGCTGGTGAATTGTCCTGTAGGGTCCGTGGTAATTGATAATTCTCGATCTACAAGGGGGGTGTCTTTCGAATCTACTCTGCGACTGCTGCAAACTTGCATCCTCAAAAATTTTGTAGCCTGCATGAGATTTATATCTGAGCCACGTTTAGTTGTTTTATTTGCTTCTTCCAATCGCTAAATTCAACGCTAAATTTCCAATCCAGAAACCTACTCTTCAGTAGCACAATACTTTTATAAACTGAAACGTTCGTTAACTCATTTACCATTCAATCGTTGCAAACTTAAATCACTAAAAATTCGACGCTACCTAACTTCTTCAACGACCGTCAATTCCAGGTACACTTCAATCCCGAAACCTACTCAACTCCTCAATCGTTGCAAAGTTCGATCACTAAAAATTCGACACTACCTAACTTCTTCACTGACCATAAATCCCAAATACACTTCAATCCAAAGACCTACTCAACCCTAACCCTCCTGCTCGCTCCTCGCACTCGTCAGATCACCTCTTACCTTGCTGATTACTCTTCCTCGTGGTCTTCTTCTCCTTCATCCACGGGTACTCGGGCACGTTTACGGAGGGATCCTGTACCCCGTGAGGGTCCATCATCGTGTGGTAGCCAGGATGGTGCGATCCAGGGCTGATGGATCCTCCTGTTCCAGGAGAATGTTGGAGACTCGTGTCGCCGGTTAATTGCGGCAACGCGGTCATGAACTCGGCCATAGACGGCTGACTGTTGATGAAGCCTGTCTCCGCGGAGCCGCATGTCGGATCCATGGCTGGATGATGGGTCCCGTGCGGGGGCAGCCCGGCCGGGGCACCTGCCCCCGCGGCCACCGTGGCCAGCCAGAAGCCACCCCCTCCGTCGTTCGCCAGGACGGGTGACGTCGGCCTCGTCTTCACGCTCGCGGCTTCCTTGCCCGCGTGGACCAACAACTGAAGCTGTTTTTCCGCTCCGATGATCTGCGACGGTTGCTCGAATAGCTCCTCTTCGTGATTCGTCAGCGGCTGTTGTTTCCCTCGCATGGAACGAAACAGCCAATCGTTCTCCAACGGCTCCTCGTTACACACGGTGTCAATGATAGAAACGTGGATTCTCTCGTTAGATCTGCTTTGCGGTGATTCGTGGCGTTTTATAGTCTTGACGCGAGTAACACAGAGAGCTACACTCTTGCACTGGAGTTTAAGTAATCACCACGAGTGATGGTATGATAAACACTATCCACGAATACTCTCGTAGACGATACGAAAGGCCCTCTGTCCGAGGTAATTTAGACAGGCTGTAGGAATTTTTCCACTCACCGGGTCATCTCTCTCTTCGGAGAAGAGTTCACTTGGATCGAAGAAGCACGACGGCGCACAGAACACTCTTAGACGGTTGTAGAAAAGCACCCCGTGTGTTTGCCGGGGGCACAGCACCACTGAACGCGGAAGCACTTTCACAGAGATCGTCGGATCGGCACGTAGAGAGTGGCGCGCGTACCGGATCGCGTATACGCCGCGGCTACCAGGAGCGTTCCGATCGGCCGGAACCCAGGCAGGCAGGCAGGCAGGCTGGCTGGCTAGGCAGGCGAGCCAGCGATCGCGGTGTACACTTGCCGAGTGACGTGTTGGAGGAGGTGGAGGTGGTGGAGGAGGAGGAGGAGGAGGAGGAGGAGGAGGAAGAGGAGGAGGAGATGGAGGAGGTGGAGGTGGTTCGAGAAGGGCGACGCCGGAGAAACGAACCAACCGAGAGTGTAACAGAGAAAAGGAGAGAGACGGTGGCTAGTGGAGAAGGGAAGAGCAAGTGGATCCAGGCTCGATGGTGGCGGAAGCAGGGTGCACCAGGGGGTGAAGGGAAGAAAGAGGAATCGAGAAGAGAGAGAGAGAGAGATTCTCAGTGACTTCCACTCTCGAGGTGCTAGTATGCAGCACCCTGACGAATTCCATCCAGCGCGGTCTCTTTTTCGCTTCTCCAGTGTTCTCTGTGGCGTGTCTCTGTTGTTACTGCTGTCTCGTTTCCTCCGCGCAAGTAGGGGGGCCGCGTACAGGGTTCTCGCGCGTCACTCCGAGCGTCGACTCTCTCTGTGTTGGTTCGTGTGTGGGGCGAGTCACGTGACCGGGAGCTAGTAGAACGAGTCGACCAATGGGGCGGCGGTATCGCGTCCGCGGAGGCACAGCCCTCCGGCGTCGTAGGCGGGCTGCATGGACAGGCCGCTGAGGGCACGGAACAAGCGGCACAGGGTACGGCGCGAGAGGACGCCGTGGCCTGTGCTCGCCGCGGCAGTGCGGCCGGCCGACTCTCTCTCCTGACGCCGCGCCGCAGCCGCCTCTCACGGCCACGAGGCCGACTTGGGCGGTCATGGATTCCGGCGCAACTGTGGGCGGGACGCGCGAGCGCGCCGCTTCCGACGACACGCCACGTGGAGGGGAACGTTCTCACGTGCTCGGCCACGCGGTCCCACTTTACCTCCGGGGGAACGGCCGAGGAGAAGGTAAAGAGCTGCTTGCCGCAACTTCCATTGGATTTCGAGTATTTGGTATGTTTCCTGGATGATACGGAGTATGTAGAGAGAAGGGTTGCGTTGTATCGTGAGATTTTCGTGAAGGTTTTCGAGGTGTTAGGAGAAGGTATAGAGATGCTTGCTGGAACCTGGATAGGTTTCGTGTATTTGGTGTGTTTGCTGGTTGATATGGAGTACATAGGATCCAGGATTGTGCTTTGTAAGTAGTAGAATTTTTTGCTGAAGATTCTTGAGGTAAAGAGCTGCTTAATGGAACCTGGATAAATTTCGAGTATTTGGTATGTTTGCTGGATGGTATGGAGTACATAGAATTCAGGATTGTGCATTGTGAGTAGTAGAATTTTGTCGAGAATTTCTGTGAAGATTTTTGAGGTGCTACGGGGAAGGTAAAGAGCTGCTTGCTGGAACCTGGACAGATTTCGTGTATTTGGTATGTTTGCTGGATAGTACGAAGTGCATAGAATTTTTTCTGAAGTTTTTTAAAGGGCTTCTGGATGTACATAATAATTCGGGATTAAGTTTGCAGTTCAAATGAATTCTCGAAGAAAATTGACGTAATTTCTCCTCAAGAAGAGATACAAGTTTCAGTTTGCGCTAGAAATTCCTTACCGGGGAATGTAACGCGAGTGGTGGCAAAGGTAGCGGCAAAATCACTAAAATTCCACGAGGGCAGTAAATTCGATAGTCGGTATTCGGGGATGGAGCGGTGGACGTGACGTTGTCGCAACGGTTTCCGGCCGCTGGGGGCGCCGGCTGGTGTTACGACGACTTGCCATGGGGCAGTTTTGATGACAGATTACCCTGATCCGCTTTGTGGAGAAGCTCTCATTTAGACAGGCGGTTTGATCGAAAACTTCGGCGCCGCTTTGCACGACGAGCAGAAAAAAAAGAGAGAAATTCGTGCCACTACCCTCGTTGCACCGTGCACCCTAAATAGAATGTAGATGAACCACGTTCAACCTTCTTCTTTCTTTACTTCTGACGTATCGAAGATACATAACACGAAATTCGAAGTATCGAACGTACACCACAAAGGGTGTCTTTTGTCGTGCGTTAGAAAAAAAAACACACACACAAAAAATGATCGATAGATTGTAGCAGATCTTGTATTTCATTCTACTATCAGCTCTGATAAGTTTCACAATTTGCCTTCGGAAAAATAATTTATCTTCTCTCTGCGTTCTGAAAAAACTGATCTATGCCTCGCTCTATCGAACAGCAGCGGCAGCAGGCTAGTGCCGAAAATTTTCGACACACACACACAGAGTGCAAGCTAGATAGAGAGAGATAGAGAGAGAGAGAGAGGATTGGAAGGGCGACAGCCGAGTCGCAACGCGAACGAGGGCGCGGATGGCTCAGAGCGGAGAACAAGAGCGAGAGAGCGCGAGAGGGTAGGCGAGCAGCCGCCACATCTGCCGCCAGATTTAACTATACATTACAGACACACGATATGTCAAAGTCCTATACTTCATATCGACTCCGCCATTTATTAAAAGTTTCATCGCGCGCACGCCACCGTGCCGCTCCGCTACGACCCCTTCTTTCTGCCGCGCCGCGAAAGAATATAGGAAGGATGCTCGAAATATACGAACGAAAAGTTCTTCCAAGGATGGAATATGGGCGGAGACGCGAGGGATGCCTGGATCTCCGGGGACCACGAGGATCATTTTTCCCTCCGATCGATACGTAATGTCGATCTTTCTCCTTGTACTCGGTGTTCTTTCTTTTCTTTTTCTCTTCTTGAGAACATGGTTTGTTTTTCAGTTTGAGAATTTTTTTTGGGTATTCTTGAGGCTGAGATGTTTCGTTACGTTTGTGAGATCTTTAACATACTCGTTATCCTTCGTATTACTTCTGCTTACGTTTTTAATATCTATATTTTTATCTGCTTTACATAATGCAATGGATGCCTACACTTATGCGCATGTAATATGCATTAACCTTGTTGCTCGCGATGTAAGACTTCCGTGTACTGTTAGACGGTGGAAATACATACCACGGGAGAAGTAGGATGCAAGGTTTTATTAAAAAGTTTCTAAACGTTACATGTTTTTTAGATGGAATTCTCTATATTTGACGATATCGGTTGAAGAGATTCTTCGAGAGTGAGTCGAATCGTCTCTTGGGATCGAAAGGGTTAAATACGCGAACTGTGCATTTTGCATAACAGCGATCTATCGTAAGAATTGACGTCATGCACTACCTGCCAAATTTTGGATCGCTGTGCGTTGCGAGCTCCGTAAAAGTTTCCAGAAAAAGCGTAACAATTTGAAGAATGTTTTATCAAATTTTTTTATAGTTCAATTCGATCTGTTTCAGAGATCTGTAAAGAATTGGCAGGTGAATCAAAAGTTTACGACATTAAGGAAGTTTTTTAAATGTTAACAAACAATCGTGAATATTCGTCGTTGAACTTTAGTCCACGCGAACAGTGAAAAAAAAAGTTCATCTTATTTCCTCCCATTTGGAAAACCGAAAGATACATCGAGGAGGAAGCTCCATCGACACGGTAACACCGGCTTTTTTCCAAATAGAGCCACTTCCGGCCAAAAGAAAGTTCCGTTTTTTGCCGGAAGAAACGCCGCGTGCTAGGATCCACGCTTATCTTATCTCGGCCGAGCTTAATACTAGAAAAATGGGAGATTCCAGCGGAGGAGGCCCCTTTTTACGATACTGGAATTTCTGTCTGTCAGTTCTCTCCGTTTCCTCCGGCTGCCACCGATTGCGAAATGAAGTTTTATATTAAGCTTCGACTTTCCTATCTCTCTCTCTCTCTCTCTCTCTCTCTCTCTCTCTCTCTCTCTCTCACCCTCCTTCGTCTGTGCGCGCACTCTCACCCTTCCACCTCGCTTTTTCTCGTCGCCTTCCGCCTCACCCCCTTATATATTTACGTACCGATAGATCGTTATGTCGGCGTTTGCATATATATTGACATCGCCACCCCTCCCGCCCCGAGATGCCTAGTATATAGGCTATCGAGTGGCATAAAGAGACTCGTGTTCTTCGTTCAGCTACTCTTTTTCACATCTCGTCTTCGCTTCCTTCACTTTCCTACCTTGCGGAGCTTCTTCTTTTAGGGTTGGCCTATTTTCTCGGAGCTTCGTATCAGCGTCCAGCTGAGTACTTCTTTGAGATTCTTGCTCTCGAGAGTGCTCTCGGATTGCGTGTCCAGTTTTCAATGCTGGAAAACGAAATGAAAATAGGCGGTCCAACCATCCCCGCTACTTTTCACTCTTACGCTATCGGCAGTGATGTATTTGACTGTCGAGAGCAACGCGGGGTTTCCTTGCAAATGGACACATTCTTTAATACTCTTTCAAGTCTTACTACGAATTAAAATTAAGCTTGGTAACTTCTTTTTGCTGTATTGACTTGTAGACTGTTCTTGGGAAAGTCTAGTCGATGGAAAAATTGATTTAATTGTAATTCTTTTGAGTAGAAATACTTCAAGATTGCATGCTATTGTCACAATAACGAAGACTACATATTCAGACGTATTCTACAGCTAAGAGGTTTAATCGC